ATACAAATCTTTTGGATCTATGCAGACAGCGAACACATTGTGTACACATCTGCCAAGCTCGTCTGTGAGAATTTAATTCTGATTGTTCCGATAACAGGGATCCATCTCTTGACTTCGACAGTGCCTTTGTATATTTTTCCCAATATCCGAAGCAGAGATCATCCAACGATTTTTCATTATAAATAGACGAGAAGAGAAAGTCATCCCAGCATTGGCACGAAGATATACGTTTTAACAACGTAAAATATAGATGATTAAGGTCCGTGCGCTGCCTCTCAGTGAATAAGGGATAAATTCCGAACAACCACGTAAAGTAAGGTAGTACAAAGGTAGAAAACAGAATTCTTCGAAGTTGAGTTGATGATGTACCATTAATTCTGAACGAATTTACTAATGCGGTTTTCTGGCGTACCGTTACTTGAGTTTTACCGATGACATTTCCCCACCCAAGCCTAGTTGTTAAACAGTATCCTAAATATTTGAACGAGGAAGTCCATTCGATCGTATTATCTCCACATCTAACTTGTGGCATTGGGTTCGGATAACAAACAGCACGCGCCGAGAACATAATTTGTGTTTTAGAGTAATTAATAGGTTGCACCGCTAATATCGAGTAGAATTCCAGTTGTTCGAAAAACTTTTGTAGTCTTCGTTCCAGATCAACACATTGTTCTGTAAATTTTAATCCGATTTGTCCCGCCAATACAGCTGCGAGATCATCAGCAAAGAAGAAGGACATTGCCCCGGGAATAAAATCCTCCATATCACTATGATAAGTAATGAATAACGTTGGTGTTAAACTAGACCCTTGCGGGCCACCTCTGTTAATATTGATCCATCTCGATCTTTTACCTTGTATCTCGATTGTCACTTGACGATCATTTAACCATGCTTGAATCCATTTGACATACATACTTGGAATTCCCATTCGAATCAACTTTCCCAGACACCCTTCAAACCAAAGTTGATCAAATGCAGATTTAAAATCAACGAAGACTGTCGCAACCGGCGAACTATTTGACATGTAAGATGACATTTGTTCAATGAGCAGTAGCACACGTGTTTGATGTCTATGCCCAGCCCGAAAACCAGATTGATTATCAGGAAGAATGCCTCGGTCCTTCAATACTTGTAGAAAACGATTGAGAAACAGTCTTTCTTGCGTTTTTAAAAAAGAGTCAAGCAACGAGATAGGTCTTGTTTGATCCGGAGTGCATATAGCATTTTTCTTAGCCAGTGGTACCATTCTTACTTCTTTAAATTTCTTCAATATGTAACCATTAGTGAAAGAATCATTGTACAACTTAACAAATAAGTGCCAATAATTTTTAGGGATTTTATCAAGCAGAAATGGTGAGAGTCCATGTATATCAAGCGATTGTTTCTTCTTTCTTGTACGTAGAACATTTAAAACTTCTGGATAAGTGACTAGTGGTATAAGTTCCGACACGTTTACACATTGTACAGTAGGGGCATCAACATATGGATGCCGACGAACGACCACCGGTGCTTCAAATAGTGTTTCATAATAATTTGCCACTGTATCTACCATCGCTTGCGGGTCCTTTATTATTTCACCGTTCAGAAGTAAGGAACCTCTTAATGATGATGAAGCAGTTCGAAAATGACTTTTGGTTTTACTCCAGAATACTCTCGAGCACTCACCAGGAACATGTCTTTCCTTTAACTGTTGTGTGAGATGAAACTGCTGATAACGTTTTAATTCGAAGCGAGCGATGTTCCTAAGACGACGAGCTTTCTGGCGTAGAAAGATATCTCCCTTCCGCTTTGCTTTGTACGATAGTGATCTACTTCGTGCTAGGAGTGTCATAAGTTCATGTGGTACCGACGGTCTGGCTCGCTTGAGTGGAAAGTATTGCGTACATCTTGCAGCAAGCGATACAATAAAAGATATAAATCGTTCATATGTAATATCATACGGTCCGGAGTTCCATTCTTTTTCCCAGAATGCATATGTATAAGAAAGCATTAGCGAAAAAACTGACCATATTATACGCGATCCTTCAAGCTTCAAAACTGTATCACATGCAAGCACCATAAGAAGAGGCTTATGATCACTAGAAGTGTCATCTTCAGATGTTTGAATTGATAGATTCATACCGGCTGCTAAGGCATAATCAATTGTACGATCCGATCGAAGAGATGTATTAGAATCTGGAACAAAAGGACCAAGGGAACATGTGTCCATCCATTCGAGTAAACGTTCAGCTTTATCACCATCCTTTTCGATATCGATGTTGAAATCACCTGTAATTATACAACGATTAGTGATAAATGATGATAAATCCACCCATTCCCAGGATTTGCTTGCTAGAGCGTAGATTGCTACAAGTCTAATTGTTTGTTCTGCCAGTAGATCAATTACACAGACGTTTGATAATGAGCATGAAATTCTCGTAGCTGGAATATCATTATGTCTCAATACTAGAACACCACCGTGTGCATTTTCAACAGTTTGATAGAAGATTCATTAGTTAGAGAATGCGGCACCCAATAGAGAGAGGTCGACATGTCCAACCTCCCCAAGTACTATAATATCGAAACGATGTTTTTTCACCAGCAGGCAAACTTCCCCCCAACGTAGATCGAGACCACGAACATTAAAGCAGAGTAAATGCATATATGAATACGTTTGATTAACATGCGGCTTTTGGTAGGTTTTCCAATTCGACAGTAGATCATTTAATGATGAAGAGGCGTGCCAATCAATAAGAATTTCTGAAAACAGCTCCGAGTCCTTCGATGAAAGCGTATTGCGAGCATAATCTATAAACTGAGTTGCTTGAGTATCATGATTAAATTTGTCCTCGACTGTCTCTATCATTGTTTAGATTTCGAACGGGACGATCTAAATTCTTCTAGAAGATTGATTTGTTCTTGCCAATACGATTTCCAATTCGATCTTTGTGCAACTTGTGGGTCCAATATTGATGTACAAACGTTTTGCAATATTGTGTAGACTCTTATTGTTAAATCTTCAAAATTCTTTTCCATTGTTTTCACTTGATTGTCTAGCACTTCTACTTGCTGTTTTGTCTCTTCGTAACGATTTTTCATTTCTTCTTTTAGTTCTTCGAGAGAGCGACGCCTTGCACTAGATTCTTCTTTCACTTTAACTAAAATGTTATCAAGTTTCTTTAATAAGACATCATTTACATTTGATGGCATCCCTTTAACTACCGAGGCATAAGAACCACCAAAAGTCGAACCGCCAATCGGGATATTGTTTGTAGTTGGTTGTAGATCTGTATATTCACTATTTGCTGAAATCGGTTTAGCTAAGAGATTACGAGTAAGTGCGGCACGATAGTCTTTTACCACTTTACATTTTGAATCATTTAAAATATGTGGTCCTGCGCAATGAATGCATTTTGGAATACCAGAGCATTGATGATCGTTCAGATTTGAACATTTTTCACTACATGTTTTGCACGTTGATTCATTCTTCTGTGTACAGTTCTTTCTGAAGTGCCCTATTCCGTAACAGTTGGAGCAAATCAGTACATTGGCTTGCGTAAAAAATTCGACTACTTTTAGTTTTAAGTGCATGACCGTGATTTCATTGGCTTCTAGTATTTCTTTGCGTAAACTAGTCGATAAAAATTCCAGTTTCACAGCGCGTACTGGCTGTTGTGCTTTATTTTTTAAACGTATAATGTCTGCAATACCAGGGTATTTTTCTTTTAATTCGTGTACGAAATCCTCCCAATCAATCTGTAAAGAGACAGCCGGTAGCACTAACGACAGCTGAGGCGGAATTGATGGACGTTTTGTTGTAAATTCGTG